TTCTGCTCCGAGAGAAGGATGAACAGGCCACCGAATCATCCCGGGCCATCCAGCAGGTGCAGTCTGCCTGTGATGCCCTGAAGGAGGAAAACTCGGAGCTGCTCCGAGAGAAGGATGAACAGGCTGTCGAGTCAGCCCATGCCATCCAGCAGCTGGAAGGTCAGTGTTTGGCAGCTTTGGAAGCCACACCTCTAGCCCCTGAGAGGACTGTACTTCCTACTTTCAGGACTCTGATAGTGGATTCAAAAGAGACCTCTTCTGGCCAGGCCTGCTCTTCTTGCCTTTCAAGTCATAGTTGTCTTAACATTGTTGTCACAGCACAAAAACCTGGTGCACTCTGTCCAGGTGCTGAGTAGTCACATGTGAACAGTCACTTGACTGACCAGAAGAGTGTGGTGATGGACATGAGCAGGAACGGAAGTTGTTTCTAGAAATGTCAGGCCAGGTGTAGGTACACAGACTAAACTGCAAGAAGTCATCTGTAAGTCTAAAGGTAGATCTTCTTGCTTTTACTATAGGTGGAAATTTCCTTTTGAAGAGAACACTTGTCCTCTAACAGGTTTTAAGAAAATTATTTAAATGTTTTATTAAAATTGAAAATGACTCTAAAAGTTTGACATTTTAGAAGTTTATAAAAAAAAAAGTACAACTCTCTGAACACTGATACTCCATGTCACCAGTCTTCAAAATCCTGACAGATGGGAGTGTGCATGGTCCTGATAAGAATTTAGGAAGAAATAACCTACAAACAAGTACCAAAAAATTGGTTGTCTAACAGAAAGTCTAGAGGGCATCCTGAGGGAAAGAGGAGCTGAGTATATTGTCCCCTTCCCAAACCAGTACATGTTCAAAACCCTGCTGGGGACTCTTGACGGGCTCATGATACTTAAGTGGTATGTGAAGAACGTAAATATGAACCACTAAAGCCATTTTTCTTTCTTTAGTTTTTTTTTTGAGATAGGGTTTCTCTCTGTAGTCCTGCCTGTCTTGAAACTTGCTCTGTAGACCAGAGATGCCTGGAACACACAGAGATTCGCCTGCTTCTGCCTACAGACTGCTGGGATTAAAGGCGTGCGCCACCAATGCCTGGCTCCACTAAAGCCATTTTTAAGGGGGAAAAGGAAAAAGGAATCTTTGAAATGTCTAAGCCTTTCTTTACTAACGTTTATCAGGTGTGCATGTTAATGGCATTCCATGTGAGAATTCCATACATGCAAACAGTGTGTGTTCTCAAGCTTCCTCTCACATCCCTCACCTGTCCAAGTCCCCAGGCGTCACTGTCTTTTCTACTCTAGTTCCCATAGAGGAGAGGAGATGTGTGGTTGTCTGGCTTCTGCACCTAACATGACGTTTCCCGGTCCCATCCATTTTGATGCAAACAGCAGGGTTTCAGTTTTCTTTGTGACTCTGTAACATTCCATGTGCTTATTTTTTCCTTTGAAGGAAGTAGTTTACTGAGATGCTCTTCAATCCAAACTGTTAGAAACTGTAATTGGCATCATAATCTCCATTAAGATAACTGAGCTGGTAAAGTCCGTGTGGTAGATCCTTAGAGGGTAGTACTAAGTTCCGGGCTAAAAGCAGATCTCACCTCTGTGTGTTTTGTTTCCTCACATTGCATGTTTGTTTTCTTTCCCTTAGATCAACTCCAGCAAAAATCTAAAGAAATTAGCCAATTTGTAAATAAACCAAACTTGCAAAAACATGAAACAGCATCTCAGACTTCTTTACCAGATGCTTATAATGAGGGCATACAGGTAATTAAATGTGATTTTCTGTATGATGTATTTATGTTTGCTGTATTGAAGGGCTCTAATGAGTATCACAGAGAAAGTGTAAATGTGCATTTTCACCTAATGTAATGCTTTTGGAGGAGGAGTCCACTTGAATCCTGAAAGGCATTAAAGCCGCTTTCCCACTAGGGATAATGAGGAGAGAAGCTAACACACACATCTCAGGAGTTTTCTGATGCCAGTGCCTTGAGTCTGTATTGTGGGTGGGCCATTATTCCTGTTTTGTGTTCATTTGCCCAGTGTGGGATCAGATCTGTTCAGGTTTAGTGTACACAAGTCAGTCTAAACAAACTTACAAGTCTACTAGAGAAATCGTAATATAAGTATATTAACAGTAAACAAGTTGGTTTGCCGAATGGCTGGCTGGCCAGTATATTCCCTTTTCCTCCTCCAGCTGTCTCTGTAGAAAACTAGATTATAATCACCCCAGCACTTAATGAACATAAGTATCAGAACAAGGGGGTCTGATGATCTTAGTTGACCAGGCTGGCCAAGCTACAGTGGATGTGTTCATCACCTCTGTCGTGAGATGATGCCCTTTCAAATGGACAGAGCTGTTAGGACAAGGTCCTTGGACAGTATTGTGAACCATAAGTAACATTTGCATTTACAAAGATGTTTTCCAGCTATTCAAGTAGATGGGAACAGTTTTATACTGAATGTTCATGTCCCCTCCTATAGATTGTATCATATATTGTATGTATTTGCTTTAATAGCTATCCTTTTGTCCATCTCTGTCCATCAATTCATCTTAATGTTTTATGTATTTCACAGTAGGCTATTGACCTCAGGACTTTTCTTCCCCGCCAAATATTGCAGCATGTGTATTATTGACTAGATTTCAGTATTTGTTGGTAGTTGAGGTATACTAGTTGAGTGATTCTTCTTTTTCTCTGGAGGTAAAATTTATAAACCATTAAATGCATAAAAGTATATCATGAGTACATTTTGTCAGATGCATTCAGCTATGGTACCCAAACTCTTAATAAAAAGGTATAACATTGTCATCACCCTACACAGTATCTTCTCTTGCATGAACTGCCATTCCATTTCCACCATAATTTTGCATGGTTTACTTATAAATATATTTGTGCAATATGTGCCCTTTTTCCCTTGTTTTGTGATTTATTTCTATTATTGCATTTATTCTTTTAAATTGCCATTATAGAAAAAAGCAGAGATAAAATAAAAAATAAATGGTTGTAGTCATGTTCTAGTGAAATTTTATTAATAAAAGCAAGTGAAAGCCCCCACAATTGCCTAACCCTTAGTTACATGTTTCCATCTGATACCATTCTGTGTAAAGGACTGCTTTTAACTTTCCTATGAGTGTGGATGGGGGTGTGTTGTGTGTGTGTTCACAGACATAGACATTTGGTGATGGGTTCTTATAACTCCTGTGCAGCTAAAGATAGTTTTCTCAACTTGGATCTTTGACTTATCGGAAGAGTTTGAGTCAGTGCTTGTTCGTTCTGCACTGTTGAAGCAAGATACTTCACTCAGCATCGCACTGAAGCCCTGGGCAGAATTCGGGTCCACACATCTGCCCTTGGGATTGGCCATACAGCACAGCATGCTATTCTCTAACCTTGTCAAGTAGATAGTTTGGGTAGTTGAGATCTCCAGAGACAGTTGCATCATACTTATGTGCTCCTCTGCAGTCCGCTGACACCTAGGGAGACCCTCGGCAGATCTAGTGATGTTCTCTTCTGTCATTTCTCCCCTTTGACTCTTAGCTCTGTCCCCTTGACTCAGGGCCAGCCAGGCTCTGCCTATGCTAACCACTTTGGGGCACATGGCCTGTAAACTCATTTAGGAGATTAAGTTTATAGAAAACAGAGAGAGAGAGAGAGAGAGAGAGAGAGAGAGAGAGAG